AATGTTCACTGTTTTGTAATGTGTCCTTTGTTTCTGTAGGTCCATATTTGGCAAAATGAGTCTGGTATACAACCAAACGAAAGTTACACTTGAAAAACAGAGCGGTGACAGGAAACCGCAGTTGAAGTAGCTGGTGAAATTTCACAAAAACTCGTAGGTGATATATATGCTATTTATGCTACAAATAGTATACTATAAATATATCACCTGTTATATCACCTGGGGGGGTCATGGTTTATCTGGTTTGGCATTTCATTCAAGAGAATATACATTTCAAATTCTCTTTCCTGATATAAGAGAGTTATGGAGGTAGACGTGGGAATCGTGACATTCATAGTTGATAAAAGTAGAATCTGCTGCAGGCCTCCTTCAACAAACTATGCACATAATTGAGGCACACATGCAGAGATATAAATTAAAAAAGTTGTCTGTAATCTTCTCAAAATACAGTTGGGAGGAGAAAGAGAGAAAAATGCTGTATTCATTTGCGAGTACTCAGGAGACGTCCCACACTATGACAATGTAGTATTTTTAAATATATAGACAGGAAGGACTTTATTTTGGCTCCCATTGGATTTTTCCTTTCCTTAAGGTATTTTTATTTTTTTGAACCTGTGGTTTCCTCACAGATTATATTCCCTTGCAGTTTGTTAAGTTTCACCTGAAAATGTACTGTGTTTGAACTGCAACTTCCTGGTATTGTGTATACTAGAATTCTTTGATTGCTTTCAAAATCTGCCCCTATTTCTTTTTCCCTGGGGTGTGCTTTCCCTATAAACTGAAGTACCACATATTGCAAATGCTGATTTTTGTCAGGCATGAGAGATCACTCATCTCCTTTGTATTGCTGATGGCTAGTAAAATTTGGATAAGATATTTCCAGCAGGTTTGTCAGGGAAATCATTTGCAGTTTGCTCACCAATATTAAGCTTTATTCATGTAGATTTCTCAGTCCATGAACCATTTGAATAGCAGCCCCAGAAGAAAGTAGTACCTTTAATATTGAGGCCTTTGATCTCTTCTGCGTACTAATTATCAGTTTTGGCTTTTATTGTGTTATTCATTTTGTTTCACGCTTGGATTTTTTTTTTCTTTTTTTTTTTTTCTTTCTTTCTTTTTTCTTTTTTTTCTTTTAATTATTTTCCCTGCTACTTCATATTAATTTTTAGAAATCATGTGGCTAAAAAGTATTACGTTGTTGTCATGCTATCTAGCTTGCACATTATGTCTCAATATGGTATCTCAGTCTCTTTCCATTACGTCATTGTTATCCTATTACATTTTTATTGGCTCTTGAAGATAGAGTCTTTTGTGTAAAAAAATGTTATTTCACAAGTTATTCTTTCCATTTAGAGATAGACTACTTGAATGGTGGTCAGCATGTTGGAGGGTAGCTGGTTTCTTATTCCTCGTTCTTATTGCTATGGAATGATTTATAGATCCACATTTAAAAATCTACAGATTTTTTCCATTGTGTGAAAGAATTGCTACAGGTACAGTTTCTGACCCTGTTATCCATATCATTTTCACCCATAGCAGTGAAATTTGAATATTTATATTGTTTAAAAGTTGGCTAAGGAAGGGAAAGCTCAGAGAAGGACTAGGCATTTCAAGATGACCATGTACCAAAAAAGAAAGTCTTACCAGCCAAGAGTACAAATAATTGCTGTGAAGAGACATGTACGTGAATCTACTGACCACTGGTGTTTGGGCAATAATCTGAACATGTAAATGTTCAAAAGATATGCTAACCTGATAAAAATACTTCAGTCTCTTAGTCTGGAACTACAAGAAGGAAAGCAACAGAAAGTAATAGCATATCTTTCTTAATGCTAGAGAGCCTGGCCTTCCAGACTTGACTACTGTCAGATCCAGGGTGGTACTAAGGAGAAGAAAAGAAGAGGATGGATGCCAAGTGGGTAGTAGGAAGATAAGAAATGGAGTAACTTCCTGCTTGCCTTTAAAGAAAGGCATAGGTTTGAGTGGAAGCATTTCTGCCCTTATTTCAGTCTTATTTCAGAGTAGGCTTCTGCTGTCATCATACCAGCTCTTGCTCAGTGCACTGCCTTGTGCTTATATACACCTACTAACAGTTTCCAGGCAAAACCCAGAGACTTATCTGAAGCCTCCTTTTCTTTACAGGTGAATCACAGTCTTTGGCTTTTCTCTTGCAGCTGAACTCCCTTGCAGGAGAGCGATCTCCAACAACATTTTGTAATTGTTTCATGTTAGCTGCAAAGCTGTCACCTACCAGTTTAACAGCTCAGTGGCCTCATTAAATGCATTCCAAAATTGATTTTCTTTTCTCAGCTGTGTGTTTCTTTAGTCCGGTAGATATCATGCTAAATCAGATCAATTCCAGTGTACTACATCAGGTAAAATAACTAGGGAATAAAAGACCCCTCTTCTGTCATTATAAGCAATTTGGTCGCATGTGTTGCCCTTTTCCCCTTAATGTTCAGCTATGACTCTAATAGCTGAAGTGGTTGTTTCTTTAACAAAATAATTAAGGTGGTTTTAGTTTCTTTCTGCAATTCAGTTTTCTATTGTCTCTTCACACTGAATGGCTGCTCTCAACTGGGAAATTCTTCTCTCAGTATCTCCCTAGAGTTCTGCAGATACCAGAGTCTTGTTTTGAAATCTACTCTCAGAGACTGTATTTTGAAGGGAAAAGGTGGGAATACTTTGGAAATTCTTTTGTTTTAAAGAAATCAGCTTTATAGCTCAAAAGCCACCTTAATTCTCTCTAAAATGCATGCAAACGTGTTTGACGACATAATAGATATTCTTGTTGTATGTCAGTGTTATGGTCTGCCATAAATTTTAATGAAAACTTTCCAGATATGGTAACTCAAGTGAACTGTGATGAATTTAAAATGCTCCTTTCCTGCTCGTCAAAGGCTAACATAAGGAAAAAAACAAAACAAAACAAAACATGACACTACAGAAAACCGAAGTATAGCCTTTGTTTTTGAATATTTTTTATATTCTTTATAGCTTCATTTTATGATGTTCATTTTCTTGATTCTGTTTTCTATACTTTAAGTCTTCCCGTATAATTAGCAATATCCTTTTGATATTTGATATTGAGAAAGAGTAAATTTTGAACAGTAACAATCCACTCCCACACCTTTTCATTAGCTGTGATATTCAGACATGAATTTTGGAGGCGGATCTATACCTATGTGTGTTTATACCTGTATGAGTTGCATATCATACTTCTGATGAAATAGATTTTCTGCTACTAATAGAGAACGTGACTGAGATATAACCAAAGCATCTGCAGTCCTTTCTACCTCAGTAGTTTTCCCTTGAGTGGGACTGTCATAATACTTGTTTCCCTATGCTTCTTGTTTTCCCATAAAAGAAGGACAGTTACTAACTGTGCATGCCTGAGAAAATTTGGTAACAAACAATAATATGAACAAAACATTACTTTTCCCTTCACAAACCTTACCTCATGCAGCCAGCTGAGAACACTAAATGTGTGTTGGGTAATTGGCTTCCCTGCATCCAATGTTTTTAATTGCCTGAATATACAATCAACTCAAGGTACATTTCTTGTGCTCTAATGAATTTTAACGTAGAGGTTTATTTCCAGATGGATCAGCATTGAAACAGCTCTTCAGCTTCTTATAAATATGATTTAGATTAACACATTGATACCAAAACCTTACCACCCAAGAAATTAAATATAGAATTTATTACGTAATTGTGTGACTAGTTTATCTATGGACATCAAAATAGCTTTTGGAAAAAAAAATGCATCACTCTCTAGAGTAAACTATGGCACTAGAGGAGCATTAATGCAGGAAATCTTGTACTTACAGAAAGTTTGAGATATGTCATTTCAGGGGGAAAAAAATCTTCCATAATTTTTAATTCACTCTTTGCATTTATTTGTGACTTGAAAACCAAGGAAATGAAGCTCTTCTTTCCTGACACAGCATGTTGGAGTAGATACATCTATATGAATGCAATATGAGGACATTTTACAGTATGTCATTTCTCAACTGAAAAAGTCATACCTACTTGTACTCTAAGAGTGAATGCGCCACAGTTCATGGAGTATATCTGAACATTTAATTAATGTTGCTGCCAGAGTAAATATGCAGCAGTTTTGACATACCTCTGCAATCCATATTTATAGAGGATATAGGAATAAATTAGTAGTATGTTAGATATTGTTTGGGTTTGCACCTGCCTCTGATGAAGCTGTGACTTTGACTATGTCATTTGACTTCTACATGTAGTGGTAGTCTCACTCGTAAACAGACATAATAGTGGTTTTCTCTGGCACAGAAATTATGAAATAATGGAGATAATGTTTTTAGAGCAAATGAGATCATGTGGAGAAATGATTTCTTTACAGGATTTAAGAAAGATGATGCACATATTTGCTGTGACACTTTGGGCTCTGTTCATCATTCTATCCCATGTTGACCTGCTCTATGAATTTGATTCTAAGAGTCAAGTGACTTAAGCCTTACTATGCCTTTTATCTACACAATAAAACAATAATGATTGTGTTTAGTCATCTTTGTCAAAAGCGTTTGTACCTGTGTATGCAAGGAGCTCATTGAGTGCTAATCTGTACCATACATAAGTTTTTGTGATTGAAGACTATGCCACTTTCTCTTTTGTCTCCAGCCTGAGTAACTGGGAGTGAATAGTTATGGTAATCAGAATTGCAGTCTACAATATAATGTAGCTAAATTAATGTCTCTAATGTAGATACATTTTGACTCCATAATAGTCTGTAATATTTCAACTGACATTTCAGCAAATGATCTCAAGTCAGAGGGGTCTCTGATGCTAGAGTTAGTTCCTGTCTGTTCTGTAGAACTGTTCAAGATTTTAAGGTGTGATAGTGGCTTACATTCAGACCAGAAGGTCACATTTTAGTTAACTGTCATATAGAGGCTGCCTCTGGTAACCATGCATCATTTCTACCTTATTGTAAATGTGTATGTGATACTATTGCTTATGCTATATTTCAGGAAAAGCAGAGATTTCTGACAGATGTTCTACATGAAGTGATGTTGCTAGACGGTTTGACCAGTTCACATCCAGTATCCCAGGAGGTGCAGCAAGCCACAGACATTGACAGGGTGTTTGACTGGATTGCATATAAAAAGGTGGGACTAATTAAACTTATCTATTTCTATGAGATTTGTCACTACTATTAGAAGATTATGTTCTGTCTGTAGAACAAATGCTCAAGAATACATTCATAATTGTTACTAGGTGGTAAACTTTAATTTGTGTGGAATATGTTTGTGATATACTACAGCATGTCACTACAGTAATTTTATCCCATGACATTCAACATAACAGTGTTAATGTTCTTTTAATTACTATTCATTTTGTGGCAGTGTCTGAAAAGTGTTAAATGCTTTAAAAGCAAAAGGATACATAGTCTTTACCCTTTTGAAACTCTCAAGAAGATTTCTCAAGTACTGAATTTAATATTTTTTTTCCTTTTTTTTTTTTTTTTTTTAATATATGAGATGTTTTTTTCTATCAACCAATGAAAACTCAGGTCATTGCAGAAGAGCAAGAGCAGAGGAACGGAATTCTGTTCTGGAGAAGGAGTATGTATTAATTCAGGCAATTTCAAATTGCATTTTAGTGATAAGAATGATTCAACCAACTTTGGGACTTCCATGGAAGAGTGGGAGTAATGTATAATTCCACCTTCTTCATGATAGGGCTTGCTGTTAGCCTATGACCCAAAAACTGGAGGTTTCCATCACACCGCATTATTCTTTGCTTTGTGGTGTGGTGTCCAGTACTGTGCTTTAATTTCATGACTAAATGTGCTTGATGCCTGATGCAGATGTTGTTTCCTGCAGCTTTCCACTAGGAAGGTTGTACTGGAACTCTCTGCTCCAGACAATAAGTCTTTTGACTGTTACCCTTGTACTGGATAATATTTTCCTTCTGCACCATTAGCTGCCTAGCATCAGACTGAAACAAGACAGCTGCAGCGTAGCGCTGACTTGCCTGCTGAGCTTCCAGTTTATCTAGCAGATATTTAGGGCTAAAAGAGAGTGTATCCTCTCTTGCAGTCGCCAGTTATTCCCATCAGCAACAAATTCAAGATGTTCATCTTCTGTTAGAGGTTCTTATTCCTTTAGGGGTGGACAAATGAGAGCGTCTGTGTAAAAATGCTTAATAGATATAGAATGTAATATTTGAACATAAAATACCTAGGAAAATATTCTAAAATACTGGAGTAGATCAAGAGCCCAAATAACATTTTCAATAAAATTTTTGCTGCCTTTGAAAATATTATTCTTGGTCAATTAAGTGATAATAAACAGCAGGTTTTTGATTATTGAAGTGTTCTCATTGTTTTAATAATTTAATCATCTTTGCTGGTGATAGCTGAACCTCAGCTGATTCAAAGGTTTATCTCACATAGTATCTTAATATCTCAAGCTAATGATTTTTTCTAATTAATACTATAATAGTTGTATCATACAGTACTCTGTAATACTTAGCACTAATCTTTTCATCGTATGAACGTTTTACAAACACAAAGAATTTTTTATTTACATTGAAATGATAAATAGGATTCTAAGACACATCTGTATACTGTTAGCTATTTTATACATGCCAATAGCATCACTGTGTTTTGTTTGTGAATTAGAGTACAATCTGCGCATTGTATCTGTCTGTTTATTTAAGGGTTCGTTGGCCATGTTCAGTGGATGAAGTCAGCATTTCCAGTCAGCTTCTCTGATGGTTGGCTCTCCCAGAGCCCTGAGTGATGTTGAGTGAGTTCATATCAGGGCCTGTACCTGTAAATTTTAACTCGTTTATCTGATCTAGCAATCCAACCTGAGAAATGGCAATGAAAGAATTTACTTTTGCGCTTTCTAAGGGGAGGAGACTAAAACACTTTCAACCATAAATTCTTTTTTTGCTGTCTAATAAGTTATCTGCCTTTCTGTCAAGCCATTCATCCTTTTGTTTTGAATACGGTCTTTCATCAGAAGAAACTTTACCAGTGACTTCATAGCTGCTTTTTTCCCTGTTTCTGTACTTTCCTCTAAGCTTCTGTTTCCTTTTGAGAATAAGTTAGAACAAACTTAACGTTTTGTAGATCTTGCATTCTTGTTTCATTTCTGTGTAATCTTGTATGCAAGCATGCACGATTTGCACTTAAAATCAATTCGCTTGTTGATGAAATGAACTCTTTTATGAGATAGCTAGAACTTTTGCCTATCCTTCTAGCTCTCTAATCTCTGCCAATATCAATACTGTGACGAATAGTATGTTAATAAAATCTGAAATGTACCTTGTCGGGTGTTTGTTCAAATATTTTCCAGTGCCTCAAAGCCCTCCTTACACTGTGAGCCCTGAGCAAGGGATTTTATTGCTGGTATTTCATGGATGGCTTTTTAGTTGATTGCTGACTTATTTTTTAAATTACTGAAGAATACCAAGTTCTTGAGAATTTCTTGCTTTTGACTCTAGTAAACTTTTGGTCAGGACCATTAGTGAGGTCTTTTCTACTGTCTTTATTAAAATGTTAATTTTTAAAAAGTCTAGGACTACATGCAGTATCTTTTCTCAACCTCTCAACCTTGGTTTTTTTTTTTTTTTTCATTCTCTTTTAATTTTTATTCAAAATATCCACCTGATATTCCCTGGGACCTTAGGTTGTCATGTGATCTCTTTTCTCTCTGTGTCTTCTACCTGAAATTGAAATTGTGAAACTTTCTTCCATCTCATTTTTCTGCAGTGAAATGACAGTCATAGATTGTCGTTGTCATTTCATTATCTTTACTGTCATCAATATGGCATAAATCAATTAGAAACCATTAAAATGCCTGTGTCTGCTAGACATTCAGCTGTCATTACTCTTCCTATACATTTCAGAGGTAACCATTGAAACTGTGATATTTAAATGCCTTGGAGCTGAATATACTTTTCATTTCCACTTTCTTGTCCCCAGTGGTTGCATGTGTTAAAAGGTTCATGACTAAACTCCCGAAATATGGTATTCAGGTAATCCCATTAACAGAGTGAAACAGGCACTGCAGCACACAGTATTTCCACTTATGCTGTTGACAGTGGTGCTTGCCTCTTTTGAAAGCCAAACACTATCATAGCAGTCCTTCACATAAAAGCATGTCATGTCATCTTCCACTAAGGCCACAAATATGTAGAAATAAACAAGAAGCCATGATAGCACATTAATAAGCAAACAATAGTGGTAGATGATTCAAGGCTCTCAGTTCACATCAGAGAGTGGATATATTTTCCTAGTGCAGCTGGAAGTGAGTGAGTGTCCTCCCACAATGACAGGAAAAGTGGTTGTATCCCAATGCAGTGGGAAATATACCCTGTTGAACACTCAAGTGGATCTGAGAATTATTAAATCAAGGCAAAAAGCGTGACAGCCTTTCCACACCAGAAATAACTGACAGCGGGAATCAGCCCTGGAAAGCTACATCAACAGAGGAGAGAGTGCAGCAAGGATAACATGAGGAGCAACAATCAGCAAGGAAGAACCAGCTGTAATGAAACAGAGAAACAAGACAGCTGCATCATAGAGGGAGCAACCAGACCCAGAACAGTGTTAGAGAGATATCCCAGATAGAAGTAAAGAAGTCATACCATACATGAGCAGTCACAGCCAGATAACAGAAGATGTGAAAGGGCACCAAATACAGAATAGAGAGTTAGATAATATCTGAAGTTGTTTCCATCATGCTTCTGAATACTTTAAAGTGTGCTGGTTGCAGATCCTGGTAGCAGTCAGAGCAGGCAAGTTCAGTAGGCTGGAGTGTAGCTATCAAAGTGTACGACCAGTAGAATATGTCTCGGCAAGCACAAGTACAATCAAAGTAAGGAAGGGTGTGGCTGGAATAGAGAAGAATATTCAATTTTTCCTTCCTGTAAGCAAAACGAGTTTCTGTAGTGATACTGGCCCAGACTTTGCAACCCAAGTAATTATTTTCTAAACATTTGTCTGCATAATTTGTTTTTCATTGTAACTCTGTGCCGCTTCTTTAGAAAAGCTTTTTCCTGCTTTCTGCAACAGTCTGATGGAAGGAGGATGTATTTCTCATAGTTATAAAGGAAGGGGGAGGCAAACCCCCCAAGGCCATTGTTGGAAGGACTATACAACTAAAAATACACACAAAGAAAAATGATCAGTTTCCCGTTTGTCACAAGAAACAGTTCTGGCAAAAGAGGATTTAAGACACTGGAAGTAGTGACTCTCTCTCTATAGTTCTCTCTGAAAATTCACAGTGTATCATGTTTTGCAAGAACAGTCAGTGCAAAGGCTCTCTAAAATTTTCATTCTTTTTACTTCTTTTTGTCAGAAAACTGGCCGGATCCTAACGCTGAAATAAACAAAAACCAAAACATCTATTTTGACCAGTGAAACCAATATTAGTATTAGTATGAAATCCACTCAATTTCATAAGTGTAAAGATATTGTGACAATCTTTTCCTAACAAAATGGTTGTGTGCAGTGACCACTTGAAAGTGAGAGCAGCTCATGAGTGAACACTATAAGAAATACTAGAGAAACACTAACAACTAATAAAATAAAGTAAAGCTGATTATATTTTTAATTAATCACTTAACTAAATCAGGAACGTTGAGATGACATCCGGCTAGCTAGTTAAAATTCTTACAATACATTTCAGGTCACTGTGCAACCCGTTCCCTCTCTACAGTGTAAAGGTTTGTTCTTCCTGTCTAATTTAGCTGTGATGTCACCCGTGAATGTCATGAAGCTATCTGAGTGCGTCTGATAGTGGTGTCTGTTCTTTGACTTGATAACACGGAAGGTCAGTGCTCAGATTGTAGAAGATGCTTTCAAGACCCATTTGAGAGTAATGCATTTTATCAGAGGATGTATCTTATAATGAAAACAATTCCTGTTCAGATAAGAATGTTTTAGATCTTCACAGCTTCCGGTATGAAAGCCATTGGAACGTGAAGTTGGTGAAATTTTTAGGTTCAGAGCAGTCCCAAGAGTGCCTGACTTCAAGAATGCAGGAAATCCTGCTCCAGCCCATGGGGTGCTAGTGTATAAAGCCAAGCAGGTACATCTGATCACCTTCCTGACTCAAAACAGTCAGTAACATACTGCACTGCTAAACGTATG